ATATATATATATATGCAATTTTAATGAGGCGTGTGCATTGAATAAAAATGTTTAAGTGTGTCACTTTTGTACATTTTAAGTCTTCCATTGAATTGATGTATAGTATTGTATTGTACCGTACAAAATTAAATGTTTCATGTTTGCTTCAAATGCACGTATTGCTACAAATAAACTGATCGAATTAAGTAAGATAAAATTACTTCTCTCTGTTTTCTATTTTCTTCCCTGTTCTTTCCTCCAATTAAGTAATAATATTTCAGTAAAAAAATAATAATAACTAAAGAAATTCTACATTACTTTTTAATCATGCGTCTTTTTTCTTAATTAAAAAAGAGAGTTGAAAACAAAAATAGGTGATTTTAGTCAAACAATATATAAATGGCCACTAAACTAGGGTATGGAAGTTATATATTTTTTGGATAAAAGTTTTTCATATACTGTTTGTGTTATCTAATAAGAAGTGAAGTCTCACTTGAATAATACACGTACTAAAAGTTTGTATTAAAATAAATTATTAAGAACTTTAATTTTAATCGAAGAAAAACACAAAAAAATACCTAAAGAAATATAAGTTTTGTCTTTATTATTATTTTATTATTTTATGAAATGAACATATATAGTAAATGGTAAGCCAAGATCTTCATCCAGTAATCTGCCTAGTGCCTTTGGTGATTTTACACCAAACATTAACAGTTAACACTATACCAAAACGTCATGTATTCAGCCACGGAAAAATGTGAAAGATCGAATATTAATTATTCTTTCCTCTGTCGGAAGGAGAAATATATACATGTATCCACATGCATCACGATAATCCTGAATGAAGGTCATCACAATCTTGTGTGTATATACAATAAGAAAAAAATAAAAAAAATAAAGTGAAATATAGGGACTAGAAAACTGTTTATTAATTGGAGAAAATTCAGAAAAGCAAGCATGAGAAATACATAATCAGGTGGAAAGGATGAGCTAAGAATAGAGATAGATAAGAGATAATCACATTCTGCGGCAGATTAATCCGAACACAGTGACAAAAGCCATTATGAGAGCATGATCTACGCCGCCCTCCACATCCAACGTTAGAACATCGTTACCCAGCACAACTCCCGAGGACGAATGCTTTTGCTTTGCCTGCATATATATTATTCAAATAAATAAAATACAAAATCATATTAAATTTATTAATTGTTGCGTGCGTGACCAAATTAAAAAAGATGAATTATTACATCGGCAACTATGTCTCCATCTATGTCGACAATTCGAAATGCCCTTTTGCCACCGATTGATCTCTCTATGCTGTACTTTTGGCACTCCACTGTAATCTGGCACGTTACTTTTCCCGTCATCATCTTATAACATCTTTTAACTTGAAACCAAGGTTTTTCTCCTGCTTCTGAGTTAGAACCGCTACATCTATACACATCCCAACGTCCAAAACTAAGTAGTTTCTGCAAATTATATGGTTGAAATTACAAGTTAATTAATTGAAACCATATTGAATGATCTGATTTAATAATTTACAAAGTGGACAGCATGATTAAAACGTATACCTTGTGTATGGTACAGAGAACTGTGCCTCGCAGATCCAAAAGGTTAACATCTCTTCTACCCTTTGTGTCGTAGTTATCAACGCGATAAACGATGAGACCATTGGAATCATAGACGGTGCAACCGTAAGAGTGGAGAACAAGTGATTTCATCCAAAGGGTGTATGTTTCTGGTGCAAAGGACATGCAGGGAGAGGAAGTGAGTTGCTGAGGCTAAACCTTGGCCATTTGGCCCAAATCACAGACTTGTTTCTTCAAAATGAAGGACTGCCCAATTATAGTTATATCCCAATTATTAATTACCAACTTGGCACTTTCTTTGAAATGTCAAACACTCAAAGTACCTTTTCTGCTTTTCACTATACTCACAAAAAAAAAAAGAGTACACTTTTCACTTTTCAAAATAATTTAATTCCATATAGAGAGCAACCTAGCTAATCAATTAATTAATCAGTTTTCAGCTGTTATTTTTTTATTTATTTTGTACAATGGATAACTATTAGACGTAGAAGTTGGCTCAATTAAATTTGTTTGCAAAATTCAATACGTAAAAGAAAATCCGAGTTTTTTTTTTTTACTAAATGTAATTTTTATCAAAGACAATCATATTTGGACTGAATTAAGACTAAACTTTTGTTCTAAGTTTTTTTTACAATTATTTTTTTTAAAGTCTGATTTTGCTACTTAAGTTAATAAAACGTTTATTTCATATAAAGTATTTTAAATAAGCGTAACTTATCCCTAAATAAATTAATAGGTCAATGAAGAAAAAAATATATAAAAGAAATCATAAATTATGAAATATTAAATTACTATTATATGTTAAAGACATGAGGCACACATGGAAAAAACTCAAATAAGTTAGGCATATTAGAATGTCTTGCTAAACAGTAAACACAAAGTATTTATATTCTTCTTAATCTTTTAAGCTGATTCGTAGGCTATTTCTTAGGGGATATATAAAATTATGAGCAATAACATATTTCTTCTGAATCGCGTTTAGGCTCAGCAAAAGAAAATAAAATTAATTCGCGTTCGAAACTTTCTATTAATATTTTACAATTTAGAGAGTAAACACAATATTTTTCGAATTGTGTATATATCAGACGTGTTGCCACGGAAGGAGTTGCATTTCCGATTACAGCACGTTTTAATCACTAGATTGGGAATGTAAAGCAGACAGAAATATCCTTATTTTATTTTTTTAAACGGTGAATTCTCATATAAGTTCTTAGAATAAGAATAGCTTGCAATGACTTGACTGTCACATATAAAATCAGTTCTTATATAAAAACTCGCTACAGTTGAGTTCTTGTAGTAAAATAAGAAGAAAACTAGTTAATTGTATAATTCACAAAAATAAATTAAGAATCAAATTTTAGTTTATCAATTAGATAAAAAAAACAATAAAATATGACTTTTAAAATAAATATTATATAAATTAATAAATTTATTATGAATAATGATTTATAATTAAATTTTAATATTAAAAATCTTTACACAGTGGATGCTCGAGTTAATTTAATTAATATTACATGCAATGTTACGTAGTGTCAAATTTCTTATGTTCAATTAAAATAATGAATTTGTAACAATTTATTTAGATTAGTTACCTTTTTCAAATTGGCTTTTATTAGACAATAACTAGTATTAATTAAAGACTTACACCACAACGAATCTTTTACTTTTCATGGTTGAACTTTGTTTATTTATTTTAGTATTGAGACGAAAACAAGTCAAAAGAGCGGTAAAGAAATTTTAAAAAAAAACTTTACTTATTTGATCAAGGAGAAAGAAAAAATACATTAAATATATTTTTTAATTATCAAAGAGTATCCGCGGAACACGAGCACTAATCTTTCTCACTGAATTGTAATTATACTTATATTGTTCATTTTAAAATATACTTTAATTTAATTTTTAAATTTATTTTATTGTATGATCTAATCATATATAAGATTGATATTGATATGTTATGTTGAAAAATTAGACCGATTCTATTGTTCCATGTATTTTAGATCTTTATTAAATCAAGTTTGTGTTTTAATGAATGACCAAATAATAAAATTAGGTTGGTTAAAGATAAAAATAAAGATAATTTTGACCAATTTGCACCTTACTTTTTTAGGGGTGAAGTCAAATTAGGATAGATTAACTGTTTTTTTATATGATTATAAAATTTGTTCTGAGGAGTCGACTTTGTACTTCTAGGATAAACTCTCTCATATATATTAAAATAAAGTTTAGCCAGTAAAAATCATATTTTATAAATATAAATTAGTTTTTATTATCAAATTTGAGATGTTGTATAAATAATGTCTATAAAGAAATTTGAAGAAAGACTATACTTGTGTGGGCCAAAACTTACAATATAACTACTAAATATGAGTATATTTCGTGTCTTTTTTATTTTTATTTTTTTAAACTTGATCTAAAAGACTATTTACATTACATTAACCTATAATTAAATCTAAGTAGCTCAATACATATAAGTATAAAAGTAATACTATTAATGATTATATATTAAAGATAAATATTTTTTTAAAATAAGGTAGATGTGTTATAATATCATTATGTGAGGGAGGATCCTAATTAGGGTAGCACTCTGCCACACAACAATAACATATACATGAACTATTACTAAAAAAAAAGTGAAATACAAGAGCAAGTGAGAGACCAAACCAAAATCCACAATAAAAAAATTAAACTAAAAAAAATAAAAAAAGTAAAAATAGTCACTTAAAGATAAATATTAATTGTAAAATTAATATATATATATAATATTACATATTAAATAGGTTGGTCTATTATATTTATAAACACTGTTATATAGTTTTCCGTATTTCCTTTTCTTGACATGTCATAATTTATATGCATGTAAAGATGTTATAATTTTAAACTAAAAAACATTTTTTTTTATTAATTTTATGGGTAAATGAGTGTTTTTTTTTATAATAAATATATAACCTAGTTTTATTAACTTGATTGGAGTGAAACAAAGCTTGCATTTGTGGAGTTATCTGGCAACATGTTGATAGGGGGCGGCAATAGATAGGTGTGATGGCTGCAAGTAATAGCATTCTTATTTATTAAGTACTTATCCTAACCACTACACCTTCATTCATCATTGTATCCCATCTCACATATCTCATTCTTTGGGAGAAAAAAAGAATGAAAGAAGTGGCACTTTGCAAGAGACTCCGTGAATAGGAAGGAATAAATAAGAAATGAAAAGTTAAGTATGTTTGAAATATCAATCCTATACTTCTTAAATTTTTCTTCATAAAAATAACTGGAAATAAACAGTTACCATGTTGATTGTAAAAATTATTTGGTTTAAATACTGCTTAATTAATTACAGTGTACAAAATAAACGAAAACGGTATCGCATAATCAATTTTAAAACTGAATACTCTTATTTTTATTTTTTTTCCCTTGATTTTATCTATTTATTACCTTCCTTCTTTCTTTTTTTTTTTCTTTTCTTTTTTTCTTTTAATCTTAGCGAACACATTATTGTTAATATCATAGTCTATATACGTGGATGAACCTAACCATGGATTGGCCTACATTTATAGCTCTTGGCCGACCAAGTTTGATATTTAGGGTGGGGGGAGGGTATGGTAATATGGACTCAAAAGGTAGTACAATAAATATTTAGCTTTTAAGGATTAAAAAAATCAGTGATGAATATATAATTATTTATCCCTTTTTAATTTTTTTAATAATATTATTTGTGACTTGTCAATTTTTATTTTGTCGCTAATATTATTAATAAAAATAATCAAAATATAATTTATTAATATAGTTTTATTAATAGGGGCAAAAATATTAATGTCACGTAATTTATCACTAATATGAAATGTTAATATTTCATAATTTAAAGAATAAATAATAAATTAATAATTTATTATATATATTACACATGTTTAATATTTATCATATAATTAACATTTATAAATAATTATATATAAATAAATATTATATATATATATTATGTTACATTAGATTTAAATTTATATAAACAAATATTTTGAATATATTAATTATATTTTATATTTTTAATAAATATATTGAACCATAAAATTATTTTTAATATTGTCACAAAAATAATACTTTTAATTATTGATAGTTTATTCTAAAAATGTTAAAATTTAATTTAAAATAAATATAAATTAAAATAGTTAAGAATTTAAACAAACTTCTATAAGCTCTCGTAAAAACATTCAAAGATAGTTTATTCTCCTTTATATATAAATGATATTTCACATTTCAAAAGGGTGTAAAATAGGTCTAAATTAGTTAACTTTATTAAAATTAATTTATCTAATCCTAAGATAAAACATGCTTAGTTTGTTGCATGATTAAAGTATTCTACATATGACAAGAAAAAAATAAAAAGATAAACAATATTTAGGAGTTAAAATTAATATATATTTCATAAAAGTTGAAGTATATATGTTTTCTCTTTTAAGAAAATAAAAGTGTATATTTACTGCAAATAATTACAGATAATTACTTATTTGACTTTCATATGGCAGGCCATACCATACGCTGTTTGATGTGACACATTAAGACGTCAATTATTATTAATATTTTGGTTATAGATGTTAGTCGAATCCATATACAGCACACTCATTACATAAAATACGACACATTACAAATGGATAAAATGTGTGGGATGCACATATATATAAAATTAAAATAAACAATTCAGAAGCTTACGTAAACGAGTACGGAGTGTGAACAAGATATTTGATCCAATCAATTAAAAAACATAAGTATACTTACGAAACAATAATTAAAATCGAGCTCTTGTGAATTACGAATAGGGATAACAAATAAATTAATGTATGAATATGTTATAATTTTGACGAAAAATATTAAATTTAATTAAATATAGATATCAGCATGAAATAACATCCGTTATATTAAATTGAGTATAGAGACAATAATAATAATAAAAATATATTTATCTGTTATATACTGTTCTCTCTTTAAATTTTTAAAAATTTATAAAGGTATACCCTCTGTAGTAACCCAATTTCGTTCGGAAAATGTCAATTTTGTGTTAAAAAAATAATAAATAAACATAATGAAAAATCAAAAAAAGACAAATAGAGAAGCCAAATCTTCCTCCGCATCAACAAATATATTTTGTGGCCAACGAAACTTTTTTCCTTATCCTGTAAAGTTTCTATATTAGTATAAAAGTTGGGTTTTGGTGCCATGCATAAAACAATTCTTGGAACTGCAAATTAGCAAGCTGGCATTTTTTTGACAGCATGCTTTGACTTATATACGATTCTTGGAAGAAGGGGAGGGGATAAGAATAAAAAGGGGGAATTTTGGGGGATCAAAGAAAAAAAAGGGGAAGAGCCATAAAAGGAGAAGGAAATGTCTAAACAAGGGGGAGACCGTCAATGAGGTGCAGCCTGGGAAACACCTTTGAGAAAATCATCTCTTGCACACTGCACCTTCTTACAGGCAGGATTCACATCAAATCTGTAAGCAAGCAGCTATTTTAAAAACTTTGTGAGTATGATGTGATACATTTCAATGGTTTTGCAACCCCTGGTACTACGTTCACATTGTATAAAGATGTGTTATTGGCTTTTGTTTTTTCCTACCATTATCAACTTTTCTTACAGCATGATTTGACATACTTTAGTGTGCTTTCACTATTTATTTCCTACACTACATTCACCATGTATATGTGTCATGAATTTTCGTTTTTTTCTTTTTAACATCAATAGCTTTAAACACGCAGTTTGCTATTTTATGTGACCCCTTATATCTTAGCTCTATTGCATTACGTAAAGGTTTAACCCCCTGAGGATGAACTTGCGTGAAATCACCGTTTGAGCTTGCATATATGAAATCTATATAAATGAAGTTTGTTAAAATAAGCGCATTGTTTATATTTTATTCTTCCTATTATTATAACAATATTAATTATATATTATTATAGGATGAACTATTAAAATTTAAATATCTTTAGTGATTAATAATAGAATGGTTAATATTCGAAATTTCAAATATGATTAATTTGACATAATATCTTTTTGATCTTAAATTCTTAGAACACAAGCCGTTACAGTTTGAAAGTTCTAAATCTTTTAGAATAAAACACTTGGTGAAAATGAAAGCTAACATTTGTAATTTAATCAATGTATAATAAACATATTTTAAAAGAAATTATTTGAATGTGACATTCTCTTGATTCTAAAGCTTAAAGGTGCAAGTTGTGACAATTTGTCACCTTAAAGCTCTTCTTATTTAAATTTTTAAAATATAATTTATATCAAAAAAATATTACCACAACATTCAATATAAAATATTCAAAGTATTTGTATCAAAAATTTTATTGGAGGAATGGTTAATTAGATGTGACATCTTTTTAACCTTAGAATTTAAAGTACAAGTTGTGACAGCTTATCTTTAAATTTTTTCTCCAAAAACAAAAATGTTCAACCAAGAAATTTTTTAACATCATAACATCTCTAGCAATAATTATAATTATAATTTTATTGAATTGACTTTGGTGTACACCTTGGTCAATTTTATAGAATTGTGAGTATATTAAACTCATTTCTTTTTCTTTTTTTTATTTTATTATTTTTATATTAGTAATATCTTTAGTCCTTATTTAAATTCAAAATTTGATTAAATATCATAATATAGTTTTAAAATATTTAATATAAATATATGAAATTATTGTATTAAAAATTTTATTGGAGGAATGGTTAATTAGATGTGACATCTTTTTAACCTTTGAATTTAAAGTACAAGTTGTGACAGCTTATCTTTAAATTTTTCCTCCAAAAACAAAAATGTCCGACTAAGAATTTTTAACATCATAACATCGCTAGCAATAATTATAATTAAAATTTTATTGAATTGACTTTGGTGTACACCTTAGTTAATTTTATATTTTTAAGATGAATGAGCTGAGACAGTTCAAGAATCTTATATTTAACAAAAATAAAATCTAATTAAAAAATATCAACATACAAATATTTTTTACAAAGAACTACGTGACTCTGATTCTTCATTACACATGAAGATACGTAGGAGCAAGAACTAAATCTTGTCGAGCCAAAAAATAAAAAAAATATTATCCTCCTTTTTATATAACAATAATAATTTTAACCTTTTTTTCAATGCATAATTTAAATTAGTTAAATAAAATATATTTGATAATTTTTGTGAGATAAATATTTTATAAATTATAAATAATTAGTTTAATTAATTAAAGGTAATCGTCTTAGGACGAACGTTGTGAGGTGCTGATACCTTCCTCACACGTAATCGACTCCCGAACTTAAAAATCTGGTTTTCGTAGACTATTTTCTATTTTATGGTTTTTCCAATGTTTTTCCATAAAAAACATAGGTGGCGACTCCTCTTTTCCAATTTATTTTTCGCCGTCCCGTCGCGACCGAGGTTGCTACACCCTCCTTGATTTATTTTCTAGAATTTTTTAGATATATATATAATTTTAACTTTATTTTAAATTTATGTCATATAAAATTTAAAATGTAACTTTTAAATTACTATTTTATGTTAGATTTTTTAAAATGTTAAATTAATTAAAAAAAATAAAAGATGAATATAAATATACTTGATATTCAACACAAATAAAAATGTGAATACAAATTTTACGCCTATCAAATATATATAATGATAAAGTATAAAATAAGAACTCGAAAATATTGACATTTGCACCTATCAAATACCGCTGTCATTCCTAGTACTGAAATATAGTATTCCTTCTGTACTCCAGTGATTTTTGTGGATTTAAAATCAAAAGTATTATGTGGTATTGACGTGGCTCCATTTTATTTTATTTTTTTAATTAATGAGGTCTGGGATACATATATTTTGATAAGGTCCGGAAATAAATAATTGTTAAAGTAATGAACACGAGGTCTATAATATTTTTTTTTATGTATACCACATATATCGTTCACGCAATCTTATAGAAATGACGTTTTGAGCACTTTAAATTTTGGGGAATGTTTTATAAAATCAATTCAATTTATTTTTGTTGACTTGAATATAATTTCAAGTAATATTATTAACATAAAAAATAATAAATAAAATAAAATAAAATAAAATATATTTTTGAAGTGTAAAAATTATATTTATTGAATTGAATAAATGTTAGTTAATTATTTTGAATAATTTTGTTGTTGTTGGGCTGGCACTATCTTGTAGCCCAAGTTGTGTGTTAGGGTTGTTTTTTGACCTTGTTCCTTTCTTTTCCACTGGGCTGCCTTGGTTAGAATCCTAAACGACATCTTCCAACATTAAAACGTTAAAAAAAAAAACGGAGGGATATAAAAAAAAAATGATTCAAGGCACTAACGGTTAAATTTTCAATCGAACTCGGGTGTGAAAAATATAATATCTCCAAGACCTCCAAGAACAATATCTCCAGAATTTGAAACATAATAGGAAGATAAGTTGCAGTGTCAAGCTTATCATAACGATCAATCCTTTGTTCCAACATAGCCCAAATGAATAACAATTCAGCATAAGTAACTGTGCCATCAAAACCAAGGAATCTATGCATGATACGAAAAGAGTGGAGTTACACTCGGAAGATTCCCAACTAGAGCCACTAGTAATTTAATCCCAAAATTGTTAAATTTTGTAAGAAATCCATAAACATTGTTTAACTCCTCCAAAGTCAGCATTGAAGAAGCGGAGGGATATCGATCCTTCATTTTCATCTGGTCCATAACAAGACGAGCGTATACAGGATCTTTTCATTCTGGCAAAGTTAGTCCACGCCCATCATTTTCCAACATGAAGTTTATGTCATCATCCAAACCAAAATCCACATATTTAGTGGGTATCACGGTTACTCAAAACATTATGCCTGACTTGGAATTCTTCAGGAACTTCAAACTCGTGGTGGGATCGCACGTAAATTTATAGCTAAAATAATCCTAGCCATTACGATGGATGAAATTTGTAATAAAATAGAAATTAAGGTGAGTGAGTATAGTGTGTCTAGGTTAAAGAGGAAGCAGATAGGGTTTGAAAATGAGAAAAAAGGGATTTATTAAAGAAACCCCAGATTAAGTGGATTGATAGGTTGAAATGGTGAAATAAGATTAGGTGGAGCTAATAGTAATATGTATGGTGGGTATGGAGGATTTGTGGGAAAAATTGCACACAGGGTGCTCCCTAGCTCATGGGCCTCAGCTACTTCTCACAAATGTCAGGTCTTATGTCGCTCCGTACAGAAGAGATCACGGCTGTTAACTTTTGAGAAACATTTCTAGAAATGAAAAATAAAATGTATTAATCCAAAATACAAAAAAAAAAAAAGTTTGAATTTAGGAACGCTTAATTCTGGAAAGATTGTGAATTTAGACTAAATTTGTTCACTTTAATTTTTCTCCCTCGATTTTTTTTTATTATATTTTTTTTAATAAATTCTAAATATTATGATTAAGGAAGTTGGATAATTAAAATCATAACATTAAATTTCAGAGAGAAAAAAATCTTTGTTGGTGACAAATACAATTGAATCTCAATTAATTTTAGTATTTCATGCTGCCATATCCAAAATATCTTTTATTTAATTAAGATTGTATTTTTGATAATATTTTTTTATTCTTAATATAAAGCTTTAAGAAAGGATAGTTTAAGAAATTAGGTTATCCTTTAAATGTGATTAGTGCAATTAAATGATGTTAACTAACTTTTTAGTTAATGTAAATTAGGTTTTTTTCTCTTATATTTAGTATTGGGATAGATATAAATTAAGGATTGACTTAATATTCCTATAATTGATTCATGTCAATATTAAAATAATACTTGATCAAGGAAATAATATCTTGTAAACACAAATTAACTCTTAATTATCAGTTTTAGTACACTATTCAGAATTTGTCTTTGAACTTAAAAAAATTATAGAATATAAAACATAAGAAATCATTTTATGAAGTTGTAACTCTTGATAATAGAAAAGTATTTAAATAAATATAAATGTGAATGAATGAAGGATTTACAAAGCATTGATATATGTCTAGTATAAGTAACTGCAATAAAATATCATTAGATTCTTTTAGATTTATCACTCGCCTAAAAAAACTCTTACATAAACAAAAGTCAAAAAAGAAATAACAGACTACATTTAGCAGGAATTTGAACCTTATAATGAAGTGTTTTGTGAGAAAGAAAAGTCTTATATATTTGTGACCTAAAAATTAAATTGACTATATACTTATCATGAGTAAACATTTGTAATTGGCTTATAACACTCATTCGTAACTCTTCATAATATTCAGCACAGATGAATATGTTCCAAGAACTCCACAAATGACTCCAAATGCAGCAATTACGACGCTCAATACAACCTGATGGTGTCGAGAAAAGAAAATTAGAGTACAGATAGAAGAAAATATAAATAAGTTGGGGGGATTTGGTGCTGTATATGCAGTTAGAAATTTAATATTGCTTAACATAGAGAAAACAAGACTATGAAAATAACTTGAAAATGGATCTCCTCTTGCAATAGATGTGAAGAATTGGGCACCAAAACTATAAAAGCAATCATGCATTTGTCTTGGACTATGAAATAGTTACGAGTTACAAGAAACATGAAATATTTTAATTATTCTTTTTTTTTTTTGTAGTGTATAATTCTGTTATTGAATATAGAAATAATTGTTTAGTTATAGCATCAAGTCTGAAGTTATACTCTGTTTAGTGTTAAAAAGATTACCATAAAAGTTTCGTAGAATCTATAGTATTATACTAGAAAAAATAATTAAAAATTAAATACAAGAACAGAGATCATACCTGTGTATAAGTTGCTTTTTTCCCCACAATTTTCACAAAACATAAAGTTGGCAATATCACTGACTGAAAAAATTGCACTCCCAAATTAGTTTGCAATTTCAATGGAATTCCTTACAAGAAATTGAAACAATAATAATAAAGGAACTATAAACGAAACAGGTTCATGTTAAGTTGATGCCATTGCCAACAAACATTATATAAAGATAGGTGTCGATTAGATAAAGCAAAAAGAATCAAGAGACTATTATTTATAAATATATTCCTCCAGATGAGTTAAGGCTTGTGTTCAAGAAAACAAATCTTGAAAATACAGTAAACTCGATGCTGGACCAGTATTTCCCAATGTTTTGGGGTCTATTTGTGAGTCATACAGTAAATTAATTTAGATAAGAATTGTGAATTATTCAACCAATGTGACAGAGATTTCTCTGTCACAAAGTTATGAAATATATTCCTGCGGTATGAAATAGGTACTGTTTCATGCAAAAATGCATGAAAGTAAAATGTAAAAGTATTTCCAAACAATATTGGAAGACAAAATAGTCTTTTATCTCTCCCTTTTTCTTTCTACAGTTCTAAAACTGGTATTGCAAAGTTGATGTATGTAAATAAAGTTTAACAGACGATCAAACAATGCTAAGTTGAAGATCATAAACTATATACACTCCGATTGATGTAAAGAGGGTAATTTGGCTTTTGGTCTAAGGCATGTGCACGGTCTTAAGTTAAAATCAAGAATTAGGTCCCTACATTAAAAATCATGACTTGTGGCTTCCTAATTCCTTCATGAAAATGAACCTTTCCTAATTTAGACATCATGATGTTGACTAGGAAATGTGTGTGAGAGAGCGACTGTGAGAGCACTAAAGTGATTGCTTACCACAAGTATACTGAAGAGAGAGCCAATTAAAGCCATCACAAACCCTGAAATTATAATAAACCGGTATTAGAGTTATTTAGGTTCATATGACTTGCACTTTTTAACATTTAACAAAGAGTTTTTTTAAGAAAACATTCTTCGATCAATTTTTCCAATGAAAATAAATAGTATAACTGAAAAATACAACACTTATATGAGCCTATGTTATCATAATATGCCCATCTCAAGTACACAAATAAATGAAAAAGAAACTATTAATATGTATTTTTATGGATCGAAAGCAAGATTAATTTCTTTATTGTCCTTGACTAATTGAACAGTCACAATTAAAATTAATATTACACAGACAAAGCTTAAAACTCACCAAAAAAAGGAATCAGAAAAGCAGCACAAACCGTAGATACAACAAGTGCTGTTCTAAGAAGAATGAAACATTGATAAGTACTTGATATTCTTTCTGGTAGCAACTCCTCGAGACTCCTTGCCAATGGGTTCATCAACAAAGCATATGTGTTTATAATTAAGGAAAAGCAAACTAAAATGATTCCAGAATTTGATCAAACAATCTCCAATTTTATGATATTCATAAAAAACTAATATGGTAAAAAGGATATTTAGTGAATGGGTTAATTACCTGAAACAAGAACAAGGAACACAATTAAAAAAGAAATGTTCATTTCAATAAAACTAATGAAATAGTACTAAGAGACGCAGAAAATTTCATACTCACTGTTGTCCACAATGCAACCTTGGAAGCAAATGAACTCCGTGGCATATTTAGTGTTATTTGAGACAAAGTGGCATCACCAAACATGAGGAATCCCATGATTGCAACACCTCCATATATTGTAACAGACAATACAAAACTGTATGAGAATAAATGAGTTGCGGAATCAGAGATTCAGAGATAAGAAAACAGTTATGTTTTGCAAGTTACCAAAAGAGAAAGGAAGTAGCATACCATAATATTACTGCTTTAGTAAATTGTGTTTTGTCAGCCATGGATTGGTAAATATTAGGGAAAACTGAGTGTCCTGCAAAGCAAAAACCATGGATACCAATTGCTAAAGGAATGCCTCTCCAATTGACCAATTGACCAGTGTGATGGAATCCAACACCATCACTTGTCCCAACACAAAACACACATATAACAATCAACACTGTTGCAAAAACTCCTCCAGCTGCATATCATAACAAAAATTTCAATAAGGGCATCCTAAGTAAGTAGTAAAATTGCAAAAAGAAAAAAAAGGAAACTCTTTAACACTTTGGAGTACCTGACATTAAAGAAATTATACGAAGATCCTTTAGCCATACAGTGGGGATAATAATAAGTGCAGCCAAAATTCCAAACATGTGGACAGAATCTAACTGGAAACTGCCCAAATTTAAGGATGTTCCCGGAAATAGTCCAGTGAGGTTATCTCCTTCCAAGGTGATGAATTCCACACAACACGACTACTCTCACAAAAAGATGTCTTATGAATACAGTGCAGAGTAAGATAATTCAGGTGTTATGAAAGGAAATATTAGAAATGATTGCAGCACTTACATATAATTCAGTGTACAAGATGATCTGCAATAATTCCATAAGTGTAAATTGATTAGTATAAGCTTTTGCATCAGTAAAAAACATTATATCTCAGCATTCTTTCTCACTACATGACATGAGTTTGGATTTATACAACAAAAAAGGTAAACCGTGAATCAAATTTAGAAGCATTTTTTAAGGGTCGTAAGTTAAAAACTAAAAAATTCATAGATAAAAAAGACCAAGCCAGATAAAAGCACGGTAAAGAACAGAATCAAAACAATCATTTGGAAAGAGTAAAATGAATTGACTTTGAGGACCAAAGAAAATTCAATTCCAGATCTAGAAGGTTGGAATTTAAGCCAGGCAATTAACTAGCATATTGAAGTAAATCCCAAAAAAACACACTTGTATCTGTCAAGTAACAACCATTGCACGACAATTTTCAACTAATTTAAATAAGTAAATAGAAAAACTTACTGATATAATAATACGACCATATTTTCCAAATGCAGCCTCTCCTATATCTGGATAGCTATTGATCCCTTCTCTGCTTTCAAAACAGTATCTCATAAGGGTGGCTGTATAGCAACAAATGACTGCAAAAAGAACCATCAGCACCATGCTCACCCAACCAGCTTCTTTCAATGTATAAGGTGTAGACAAAATGCCAACTCCAGCCATCACATTAATCGCTGCCAAGGTAGAAGAACATCATCACCAAATAAGTTAATTCAAACACGAAATCAATTCCTTGCTTTATCACGCAGTAAGAAGACATAGGGAAGTATATATAATATTAGTGGACTTATTAACTATTATAGTGACTTACTAATACAGTATACATTGCCACAACCAAACAAAAAAAAAGATTAAAACCAATATTTAATTTGTAATGTTTATAGAGAACATGTTCACATCAAATAAAATGTTCAAGGATCAAGGATGCAATACAACAACTGTTTGTAATGAGATAACTTACCATTGAAAACTGTTTGAATGAAGTTGCATCCATGACCAATGGGAAGTTCGCCACATGAATGCGCTTGCACTGAACCTTGTTTCGGCAAAGTTGATTGGGTAACGATTTCATGACCAGAGAGAAAAGGAGTTGTCTTTCCATCTATATCTAACTTATTCTTTGAACGATCGTCAAAACTAGAATATACAAAACTTGATCCTCGTAGAATTGATTCAAAATTTGGAGTTGCAGCAAGTGTGTAAGCATCTGTAGTCTCTCTGTTATAAGAGAATGAAAGAAAAAAAATTAAAAATCAAAAAATTAGCATTCAGGTTACTAGTTAAAAGGAAGGAATAGCACAACAATAAGTTAGATAACACAATGATAGAGAAGCTTCAAAAAAAATTTATGCTAAATTTTATTTTAAATTTATGAAGTTACCACTCTTTTACTCAGTGTCCGAAAAATGATTCTTGTCTAAGCATTACATTACATTGCTTCATTCAGTTATTGAATGCTTTGGAGTTAAAATCATCTAACCAAATTTATTGTTAGTAGTATATAAAAAGGCTAGAAATGGTGTTTGATTACATTTTCCGTTAATTTCAATTTTTTTGTTAAAAATAATTTTATGGCTAAAATATTCTTTACATTCTCTTAAATATTACACTTTCTCACTCATAAAAAAAATAGAGTTTATCTCATAAAAAATATATATTACACTTTCTCTTTTTCTTATTTTTAAATAAACAATTCTATTCTTTAATAAATAGAAATATACCACACTTTTCGTAATTTTAATATTTTATATAGAAAGTCTAATAATTTATATTGGACAATATTTTTTGACAAAAAAAATGTTTATTAATATATATTTGTGCATTTTTTTTTAAAATATGTTACAAGTTATTTGACTTATAATATATATATATATATATATATATATATATATATATATATA